ACATGCAAATTTTTTCCCTATTCGGATTGTGTAGCGCTCAAGTCGGGAATTTCGATCAGCCCTAACCTACATGCATAGGGTTTAGACACTGCATATTTCCTTTGAATTTTATTAATTTCTTTCCACTCCTTTCTTTTTACCATAGTTGCACCAAAATTAACAATAGTGTGCAAAGTGAACAAAGTGTATCTTTTTTCCACACCACTTACCTAAATGATTATCTAACTGACACAACATTTTTGGAACTTTCTCATCTTTTTCTACTTTTTCCGCTGTAATTGGTGCCATATTCCAAATTGTAACTCTGCCAGAATCCTCACCTGGAAAAGAAACAGAACAGGTATCATGAGTGGCGGTAGCCACATCCAGGCAAGTAACCTATTCTCCAACAATTGGTAACACAGCACAGCCCGGTCGAGGCAACGACACCATTGCTACACGTACTTGGCTTATTTGGGTTTTTAGTTGCTGTTAAGTAAACTTTTAAAGCATAAGAAAAAACTGGCATTGGTCAATTCTAGAATGACTGAAATAGTCTGCCTATTCATTTGACGTAATTGCTGTTCACAATTTTAGAGACAACAAAAATATAATTATTGCACAAGTGCATCTGGTACATCCATTCACTGAGGTAAAGGAAATTTTGGTCGCACAAATACTTGTTGTAACAACGGGACTGAAGCCACAGCCGTAAATTCTTTTGAGACAAAATTATTTTATCATTAGAGTCGATGCCAAATAAGTTTTCTCACTTTTAGATTGCAACAGAAAATCCTCTGTCTTAACTCTTTTAATTACTTTCAATGTATAACATGAAACTTCATAGGGATTAGATGATATTGCACACATTTATTTGATTGCGTCAAGTACTCATTTTCTCTTACCTTGACCTCCCGTTGCAAACCTGGAACCATCTGGATGAATATCGATTGAAAAAATTCCCATTCCTGGAAGAACACAAAGAAATTATAAAATTGAAGTAATTAGGCCTCACACTACACAGCATTCCTCTTCAAGTGAAAATTAACTTTTAAGTGAACTTAGTTACTGTACTGTGAGAATATTTGGTCTGGCTATAATTTACAATTGCTAGATGATCCATCGCCATCTAAACATCCGTTGTGACTGTGATTTTTCGTAATGCAGCTGCCTTGCCAGGGTTCCTGAGGTGTTCTTAGAATAACTCACTAACTAGCTGGAGTGCAAGTTTGCTTGCTGCCGCAGAAATGTTTCAAATCTCAGTGAGATTTCTATATCATCACAGTTTGAGGTAAAAATTCTGAAGGATAAAATGTGTTGAAAATAGGTCTAAATAAGCACAAACTGCCATTAAGCTCACTTTCCAGTTTGGTTGTAAATATAGTTGCAACAAACAGCACATTGATTGCTGAACTAATAAGTAGGCTAGGTGTCTACGTTTTTAACATTATTGACTTGACACATTGCAATAAGTTTTGGTAGGAAAACTGATCTATAACGTTTCTGAAACACATCAATGCTGCAATTTCTGCTTTGAACAAAGAATCAAGAGATTTGACTGATTCTTCATTGAGAAAATATAATCAAACAAGATTTACTTAAAACACCATACTTAATTGGAAAAATGTTCTTTCCTGGTTTGCCCCACAACAATTCTTTGAAGGAAGTAGCGTTCCGATGAACTTTTCCCTCATGTGATGAAATATTGGTCTAACTCCCAATTTATCGCACCATGGCTGACAACTGCATTACCACAGGAACACAAAAATCACATGAAAAGTTGAAGGAAGCGTGAATGTGACATCGCATCGCCTACAACTTTCTACCCGATTGGATGGAAAACTGAAACTCGTGGCAAATAACCAAGGCATTCCTATTGATGCTCAACGAAGCAGTATCTTTGCAAGCCAAAAGCTGAAGAAGATACATGAATGCTGTTAAAGCGATACCACATGGCATCGGTAATTGATTCAAATTTGGTTGGATTCAACTTTTCTTCCACTATGGCAGATGAAAAGTGAATCATAAGATGTGCTTAGGCATTCTTCGACTTCAACCACCGCTATATTAATGGAGATGGATGGTATGGATATAAGAGGAGCCTTACCTTCGTTACCATGGTTAACCCAGGCGGGCTTAAAGATTTTCATGGCAGAAAATCAAGATCGCTGGGAGAATTTCCTCAGAGAACATGCAAGAGAGAAGAATCGTAGCTCCTTGGTTGGTAACAGTGATAGATGGTATCAGGGAAAGTAATTCCAGAAACTTTCAAACATTCCTTCGGCTTCCAGTGGCTGGTCAGGAGTGATGCGGTGGCGACCTCAAACCTCACACGTTTAATTACCTGACGAAGTGAAATTAAATTACTTTGGGAAGCAACAACATTGCTAAGTCGGCATTTGCATTCCGGCAATCAATTCAAACAAAAAGTTTATCAATAAATAGTCACGGTTGATTGGTTCCTTGAGATGTTTACTTCTTGCAGGCAAAGACCCCCTCGGAATGAGCATTGAGCAGGCAAGATGGCTGCGTGGTGCGACGGGAACTCAGAGCAGTTCGAGCACTCTCTAACCAATACCTACTCTAACCCATCCTATCGTCTGCCGTCTCCCCACCTTATTATCTATCCAAATAATCATGTTTCCAATAATGATAATGTAAAATGAATCAGTGAGTTCGGAAACACTCCAACACGGGTTTTTTTCGATTTTCACTTTTTTACGGTTTTGTTACACTTCTGTAGAAGTAGAAGCATGGGTGCCACACACGGGAGGGATGAGGCGCCCAAAAGTGAGGCTCTGCTGCGCGCGC